TCCTATCTTAGATTTTTATAAACTATCATTTGACATCAACTTTGAATTAAATCCATGATTAAAAATTTCAGTTAAATTTAATCTCCGTTTAAGTTCAAAGTTGGTGTCAAATGATAGTTTATCAAAATCTAAGATAGGAATGTGAAATCGGTTTTCCTCTAAAATTAACCAATTAGGTTTTACAGCTTGTCAAAGTTGCAAAAAGTCAATTTTCAACTGTCAATATTTCCAAAACAGTTGAACTTAGGTATAGGGTATATTACATGAAATCTGCTCAGAATTTTATGTAGAATCCAAAAATACATTAATATATGGGGTGTTCTATTTAAAATAACCGAGTTGGTATCAACTTCCGGTATGACCGGAAATGCCGCCATCTTGAAAATATTTTACCTGGATGTCCCCCATCGACATTGCTATGTTGCCAAATTTTCAAATTTTTACCTTTCACAGTTTTCCCATAAGCAATCGATGTCATTCCCGGAGGACCACCCGGTATTGGCAATACAAATTTTTCTTACATAACAGTGATATATTTATCCATCATTGAACCTATAAGCACAAAAAAATTGTTTTTTTTTTGCATTATTGAGCCAATATAGGCAATACATATTTTTCCACATTGTAATATTATATTTACATAAGAATGGGCTAATATACACATAAATATCTTTATTGACATTATTTAGACCATATTGGTTGATTATTGGCAATACAACTTTTGCTAATGTTACAATAGTATTGTATCCATTATTGGACCAATATGCACAGATAATATTTTTATTTGCATTATTAAGCCAATATTGGATATATAATGGCAAAACAAATTTTTCTAATATAACAGCGATATATTTATCCATATTAGCCAAATATTGATTCTATATTGGTCAAATATTGTAAATGGGTCCAATATTGGCAATTTGTAACCAATATTGGTAATATATTGGAGATTATCCTTTTTCCTACATTATTATTATATAATATGAGAATCCAAGATTGATCCAATATTGGATCCGATCCATGTTTGGCAAATATCTTTTATTCATGTTTATATTTAATATTTATCCAATATTGGTGATATATGTAGATACCTTTTCCATATCAATCAGGACTACCGAGAGAGGGCACCACGCGCTACTGATGGCCTTGCTCTTTCCTAGTGTTTGAGTTTCCTCCAAAACTGTTTCTTTGAGTTGGTGTGCTTAGCTAACAAGCTCGAAACCGGAAACCGGTCTAGTCTGCAGGTGTTGGAGCTTTGGTTCAATACATGTGTTTTTCCAAAAAAACATTTTAAATATTTCTGGGAAATATTGTATTGAGAAATATTTCATATTTATTAATTGGTAATATTGGAGAAATATTTATATTCAATAACCGATTCATATAAAAAGTATACATTGTGCCAATCTGAAAAACAGATATTGGGTATAATTCTAAAAGCAATATTACATGTTTATTAATTAGCAATATTGAGACAATATTTTTCTTCAATATTGGATTCATATTTACAATATATATTGGACCATTAAAAAAAAATCTGTCGTTTCCATTCTTGGGCCAATATGTAAATATAATATTTTACCAATATTAGTGTGCTACTGGGGTATCTTTTCCTTTTTTTTTTTTAAAAAAAACACTTGTTAGTTTCTAGAACAACCTATACTCCGGGAGGGTGGCTATCTGGTGAGGCTTAGATTCTACTTTGTATCTTAATAATCTTCTTAACCTATAACTATAGTACCTACCTATTCATTGTTTTACTTTCTATGTTAATGAAGGCAGGTTTGGCGATGCTCTGTGATTGGTCTTAATAATCACTGATATTAAAACTAACTGAAATGCGTCTAGCTCATATTAACTTGCGCTCTATTCATACGGGCTTTAATGATTTTAAAACATTGGTAGTAGATAATAACTTTGATGTAATAATGGTGACAGAGACATGGTTGACTGACACTCAAGATCCTAGTGCTTTTTCAATCCCAAGATATAAATTTTAAAATATCAATAGAATCGAGAGAGGAGGTGGTGTAGGAGCTTATGTAAAAGATACCTTCCATTCTGAGATGGTTTCTTTTGATTTAGATGTATCAAACAATCTTGAATTAATTGTCTTAAGTATTAAGTTGAAATCCATTACAATGGCAATTGCAAATTTTTATAGACCACCAAAAACAAACCTCAATTTAGTTATTAATGACTTTGATAATATTTTACTTGATATTACAACAAAGTTTGACTTTGTGATATGTCTTGGTGACTTCAATGTAAACTTTTTCGATTTAAGCAACCCGGTCCTGAACTGTTTTGAGTCCTACAACCTTAAACAAATCCTCAATGAACCTACGCGGATCACACAAAATACCAGCAGGCTTATAGACCCTATATTTGTGAGCGACTTAAACTTGGTTTTGTCATGCGGCACACAATCGGCTGGCACTTTCTCAGATCATAGACTCGTTTTTGCTGAACTAAATTTAAAATACCAAAAAATGGAGCCAAAATGGGTAACTTATCGATGCTTCAAAAACTTTGTAATGCAAGATTTTTTGCGCGATCTGAAATTATTGCCTTGGATGGATGTTGTATATGAAAATAACATAGACAAGAAAGTTCAATTATTTAATGAATTCATAAATGTAACATTTAACACACATGCCCCAATTAAATCATCCCCAGTAACTAAGCCTAAAGCTCCTTGGCTGACACAGGGTCTTAAATTAATCATGAAGGAAAGGGACAAGGCTCTACAAAAATTTAAACGCACCAAAGCAAATTCAGATTGGGCAAGATATAAAGAGTTACGTAACTACACGGTCTCTATGGTTAGAGCTGAAAAGAAGGCCTATCTGAACTTTGTCTTGAGGCAAAATAACCCAAAGCAAACTTGGAAAACACTTGATCGGCTGAGTGTGCGTTCTACTCGTGATAACCATTTACCTCAAGGTTTGTCGGACCCCAATAAAATAAACAGTCACTTTGCAAAGTTTATTCAAAATATTTCAAACAAGTGTACAAATAAAATAGATTACTACGAATCTAACCAGTATGACTGCTCAAAGACCTTCTCTTTTAGTATGTGTACAGTGGAAAACATTAATACTGTTTTGAATAACATAAAAAGAAACGCCCGTGGCGCAGATGGAATTACTGCGGAGATGCTCAAACTTTGCAGCCCCTTCATTGATCCTTTCATTACTAATATTGTAAATAGCTGTATAGAACAAAAGTACTTCCCAGAATCATGGAAAATTGGCATTGGAAAGCCAATACCTAAGACGAAACAACCTGAAACCCTCAATGACCTTCGAATCATATCAATTCTGCCAACAATGTCAAAAATCATAGAAAAAAATTTATATGCTCAGATTTATTCTTACTTTCAGTCCAACAATATGCTTCCAGATACCCAAAATGGCTTTCGCGCAAAACATAGCACAATTTCCGCTCTCACTACAGTAACAAACGATATAATAGAAGCTCGTGACTGTGGTCTGGAGAGTATCCTCGTGTTACTGGACTACTCTAAGGCGTTTGATACGGTAGATCATCGCCTTCTTCTAGGTAAACTTAAGTATTACGGATTTGATACTAATGCACTGTCCTTGATTAAATCGTACTTGTCTGATAGGTCACAGAGGGTCCAGGTAGGTGATAATTACTCAGAACCGTGCCAGGTTCTCTCTGGAGTGCCACAGGGGTCAATACTGGGTCCATTATTTTTTATTATATACACGTCCGATTTACTTAAAGCTACAAAATACTGTAAAATACAGGCGTACGCTGATGACACACAACTTAACTACCATTTTAACATGAATAACTATAAACAATCAGCGCAACATATTAATCAGGATCTGGAAGCAATTAAAACTCTTTCAGAGGATCATGCACTGAATCTCAATCCACTGAAATCTAAACTATTATTTTTTGGGAAAAAAACAAGTATGGAAACTTTAAAAGTGGACTTTAACATTAGGATTTCGGATCAAACCCTACAGTTTTGCGATTCTGCGCGTAACCTCGGTGTTTTGTTGGATTCTGAACTTGGGTTTACTGGCCATGTAAAGAGTCTTGTACAAAAGTCATATGTGTCCCTTAAACAGATTTACTCTAATAGTCATATTTTGAGTTTAAAACTGAAAAAGACTTTGTGTGAGTCATTGGTTCTCTCTAATTTTAATTATGCGGACTTCCTTTACGGCCCTTGCCTTAGACAGTCAGAACAATACAGGATACAAAAAATACAAAATACCTGTTGCCGCCTTGTTTTTGGTTTAAGAAAGTATGATAGAATTTCCCATAAGATTAATGAGCTCCACTGGCTAAACATGAAGAATAGGAGACTCTATCATCTAGGTAATTTTGTACACGATGTATTATCTAACAATGTTAATGTATCGATAAATCTCAAAAATAAATTCAAATCTAATAATGATATTCATTTACGCGATACCAGAAATAAGCATAAATTCTCTGTGCCTAAACATAAAACAGCCTTGTTCAAAAAAAGTTTCATCTACAATGCCATTCATCTTTACAATTCAATGCCCGAAGAATTTAGAGCTTTTAAACGCTCAAGATTTAAAACTAGCCTCAAAACTCACTTGTTTGACAAGCAGACCAACTCACAAGGGCCTTATCGCTGAACTTTCCGTTTGCCTATCATCTCCCGGAGTGTGAAACTTTATAGTCCTAGGTGAATCTTTAGTTTTGATTGTTATTGTTATACAAATTATAGTTTGTTTTTATTCTTTTATTTTTTTTTTATTGTTTAAGTGCCATTTAATTTAATTTAATTGAAATTAATTGCTGTCTAGGCTATTTTAAATGCATGATTTTTTTACTTCTTATACCTTTTGGGTTGAGTATGAGTAGCCAATGGCTAGACTTCGCCCTGTAGGTAACATATTATATATATTTAGACCTATCTCTAATTCTGTTTTACAATATGTGGGTTTATAAAATGATATGGTTGATGTATTTTTTTTTTCTTATGAAATAAAAGTCGTTTATTATTATTATTTATGCGATAACAAAATTAAAACTATCCATACTTATCTATCTATGGTAATAGCTATACAAAGAATATAACAACAAGAAATTAACAATAACAGTAAGTAACCTAAACTTACTTTAAAAACTCATCTAAAGTAAATACATTTTTCAAATAGTTTTTGAGTACTTAACAAAAATAAAAAAAAATTATATTTTAAAACTTTATTCACTTTTTTATTATAGTGATTATTTTTATGTTAGGTAGGTACTTAATTTTCATACCTATTCTTTTTGTATTACCTACTAATTTCAACTTTTAGGGTACAGAACTTATTTCTAGCAGTCTTATAAAAAAATATTTTGGTTTATTGAGATAAAAATAAACCAATAAATTGAAAAAATATTTTTTTTTTTTTATGATAGTAAATATTTGAATAATAAAATCAGAAAAATTACCTTTATACTTAAATAACTTTTTTCTGATGAATTAGTAACACAGATATTGTCTTGGTTGAGAGATTGGCTAATGTCACACTGGCATAACATGTTTCTACATAAAAAAGTGTCTCCCAGTATAACGGTACAATCGAATTTTGTAGAACAAAGCGACCCAGGAGCTAGGAAAAAGGTATTTTATTGAAATTTAGCTGCAAATTCATCCAATATTTACTCACTTTTTAATGCATAACAAGTTCCATTGACATCCCGGAATTCTTCAATACACAAACATCTTGAAGTTGATTTCCCAGAGAGGGTGGAATCTTGCAAACATGCTGAATTTTTTATGTTCTGACATTGTTGTTCGATCTGACATTCTTCATTAAGAGCCGCAGCGGCTGTAATTAGAATATGGTTTTAACAATTATTATTATTTTCAACTGAAATCACTTACGTTTCAAACACAACAAACCGTTTGTCACATAGCCAGAATTACATTCGCATGTGTTGTTCGAACACTTAGCATCTGCGATGTGATTGCAGGTACGAACTTCACAGGAAGATCCTATTTCTGGAAAAAATACAAAAGAACTAATAAAATGTACGTTTCACTTTGAAGTCAATTGAGGTTACATGAGTTACAAATCAGTACGCGATGTACGATTTTTTAAAAACAAATTTATTTCACTTAAAACTATTACAATATTTTTACGTTTAAAATTTATTAAAATTCGAAGCGTCGAAAGTGAATGCAAAGCTCTGACTGACGACGCTCGGCAAGTAGAAGCTACAAAAAGAGAATACAGAATGCAAGCTAATGAAAAATAATATGCTGATTAAATAAAATATACAATGTAGAGCCGTATGTAACTCCTCCCTCATTAGATTCAACTAAACATGTTGAAGGGGTAGTTGAATAATTGGTTCTTGGATTGGGTCTTCTGGATTGCCTTCTTGAGCTCTTCGTGGTCTTCGTCTAAGTTGAGTCAGTTTCTTGTAGGTGCAGTAGCTGACGAAAATTACCATTAGTAGGTAAATGAAGATAGTCCAAATATTTGGGGCTTCGACGATTTCGGGAAACGGTGTAAAATTAAGTTGATTGTCCTTAATTTGGTTTTCGATTTTTTGGAGGTCATCTAATTTCAGGTCATCTAGATGAACACTCAAGTTAAGTGTTGGCAGTAGTAGTTCTTCTTGATTATTCAAATCAGGAAATAATATAGGCTGGGTTTTTGTTTGGCCTACGTGTGCGTTGTTTATAATCACTTCTTGATTGCTGTGATTAGTTAGTTTGCAATTTTTTGGGATTTCGGCAAAATATGTACCAAATAATTAATGGATTAAACGACTTACCTTAAGGAAGTTCAATCCAAATTATATGAACATGGGGTTTCCAATATATAACACAATGTAGTATATCCATTTTGCTAGAAAATGCCCACAACGTTGAACGTTTAAAGATTTAAATTTTTTCCCTGTATCCCCAGACCCCGCCCCACCCCGTCCCGCCTATACCCTCGCTCGACCCATCGTAGATCCTCATTATTCATTGCTGTAATTTAGATCGTTTTACAAAAAATTGGGCTTTCAGAGGGATGGGAGGGAGGTTATATATTGGAAACCCCATGTTCATATAATTTGGATTGAACTTCCTTAAGGTAAGTCGTTTAATCCATTAATTATATTTCACATTGGGTTTCCAATATATAACACAATGTAGTTGTTTAAAGTACCAAACGATCTAAACGAAAGTTGTTAAAGAAAACTATGGTAATGATAATTGAATTTAATTATCTTTATATTTTTTTTTTTTTTTTTTTTTTTATTTTTTCCCAAAAATACATAATAAAGAAGAGAACATACATATGTATAATAAATAGGTACATGTAATTATATAATAAGTGTATAAGTACAAAAAGTGACTATTACAAAATCAGTAATAAATCATTAACGAACTAGATGCGTGAACTAATAACTTATCTATCTATGGTACTAAATTAACAATTGCATCGGCTAAGTTTAAAGGCTCAGCCACTGGTTTATTATAGAACTTATTGAAAACTTGTGATTTTTGTGTCCACCCTGCTACCTCTCGAATTGTGTCGATGTTGACCCCAGAACGAGCAGCGGCTGACGTAGCCGCGTGTCTTGTGGAGTGGCTTTTGAAAATGTCAGTATTAACACCACTATTTTTTAATACAGTTTTAATCCACCTGCTCACTGTCTGCGAAGTAGCAGGATGAAATGGTTTTTTAAATGTTAAAAATAGTTGTTGATTTTTCCCCGATCTGTGAGGCAGAGTAACTTCGAGATAATGCAGTAAGGTGGTGGCTACGCAAAGCTCAGGCTTGTCGATAAAAAAAGAGAAAGACAAAACTGGTTGATTTTTATTAGGAGCAGAAGTTTTTAGAACGTCAGGAAAAGATATAACTATTTTTTCGTTATGGTAATTCTTAATGTTATTAATATTAATTTTTGTTAATGTTTGTACCCTTTGCGCAGTTGTTAAGGCTAAAAGAGCAACTAATTTTAGGGTAAGTTTTGGTAATGGTAAGGTATGAGTGGCTTGCTTTTCCAGATACAAAAGAACAATCTGTGGATCCCAAGTATTTTGATACTTCGGAAAAACTGGCTTAATTTTAAATACGCCTTTGAGAAATCTCTTAATTAATTCATTTTGATCATTAGAAAGAGAAAAAAGTAAGGCGAGTGCTGACCTATGAGTGTTAAGGGTTGTAAACGAAGCTCCCTTATCGAATTCTATCTGTAGGAATTCCATGATGTTCTGGATTGAAGGATCATATTGAGAAGCGTTGCGGTCGTTACACCACTGCCACCATTTTTTATATGTTGTGTTATATTGTCTTCTGGTGTTGCTGCTTAAAGACGTTACCAGAGTTGAAATGGCACAATCAGGGGCATTTCTCAATTGAAAAGCTCGCCGCAGAGTTTCCCAACAGCCAGGGTAAGGGTTGCGTTCATCGGGTGGGGTTCTCTAAAAGGAGATAATAAAAGAGTTTTGGAAGGTTTCAAAAACATAATATCTGAAACTGACAGTTTTATAAAGAGTGGATACCAAGCTTGTGACGGCCAATAAGGCACCACTAATAATCCGGTTGCTTTTTCTGCAATTATTTTGTTTAAAGCTCTGGGTACCAAGGGGAATGGTGGAAAAGCGTAAAAAAACATATTTTGCCATGGAATCGTGAATGCGTCTACAGTAAAAGAATCAGGTTCCCTATGCCATGAAACATATTTTGAACATTTTTTGTTTTGTTTGGAGGCAAAAAGATCTACTTCTGGAGTACCAAAATAGTCAGTTATTCTTTTAAAAGCTTTGGAGTTTAAACTGTATTCTGTTTCAATGGCTAATGATCGTGATTCTTTGTCTGCTTCTTTATTTTCTACGGTGTTTATGTAAGATGTAGTCAAAAAAATGTTTCTTTCCTCACACCATTCCCAAATTTGAAAAGTAATGACATTTAAGTGTTTGTATTTTACCCCGCCCATACGATTAAGATATGAGATAGCGGTAGTGTTATCTAATCGAAGCAGAATTCGACAATTACTTAAGTTATTAGAGAAGGATTTTAAACCGTAAAAAGCTGCCAAAAGTTCCAAATAATTTATGTGATGTTCTGATTCTTCCTTTGACCAAAACCCATGGGTACTTTCGTTATTGCAGAAAGCTCCCCAGCCTGTCAATGATGCATCTGTAAATATTTCGAGAGCAAACTTTGCAGGTTTAAGAGATTTTTTTGGATTACTTTTGAGGGTATTTATCCACCAATTAAATTTTGATTTCAAGGTTTGTGGTAGAGGCATTACCCTGTTGTAGCTGCCCCGCCTCTTTTTTAGCCACAAATATTTGTATCTTTCAAATGCTTTAATGTGTAAACGACCATATGTAATGGCTGGACAAATAGATACTAAAGTTCCTACCATTTGCGCAAACTCGCGAATGCGGCAAGTTTCTTTATTTTGAAAGTTGAATAATAATTTAAGTATCTTAGAGATTTTTTCTTTAGGTAACGACATTGACAATTCTCGCGAATTAAAGCAAAAACCCAAATATTTGCGTTCCTGTGAAGGTATAAGTTCACTTTTTTCGGTATTAATAAGAAACCCTAAATATTCTAGTAACTGTTTTGTTAAATGTGCATTTTTCAAACACTCGTGATACGTTTTCCCAAAGATAAGAATATCATCCAGGTATATAACTAGCAATATACCCTGACGTCTAAGATGGTTTATTACAGGTTTAAGAACTTTTGTGAAAATATATGGCGCTACATTTAACCCAAAGCACAAACAAGAGAATTCATAAGTCAAACCACTAAAACGGAATCGTAAATATTTTTTGTGAGATTTTGCTATAGGAATTAAAAAATATGCATCTTGTAGGTCAAGGGAAGCCATATAACAGCCCTTATAAAGTAAGTTTTGGACCATTCTATGGTCCTCCAGCTTGAAATGTGGAGGAATTATAAATTGGTTAAGATATTTTAAGTTCAAAATGAATCTGAAGGAACTGTTAGGTTTTTTCCTAAGAAAATAGGGCGATAGAACTTCTCCCTTTTCTGAGTCACATTGTTCTATGGCTCCCTTATCTACAAGTTCTTTGATGATGTTTTGTATTGCATGTTTTTCTGTAGAGGAAAAACTTTTTGTTCGACATGTATTTTTACCCTTTGGTTTAGAGCAGAAGGGAAGTTTGTAACCAGTAATGCAATTTAAAATAAAGTTACTGCATGTCAGTTCAGACCATTGTGATATGAAATGACGAAGTCTACCTCCTAATCGGCCTACCTCAAAAGTCTTCTCTAGTATTTCCTTGATCGGCGACTCCGGTCTTGAGGGGTTCTCTGTTGAAGTTTGTTCTTGCTGGGATATTCGGATGTCTCCTTCTTCCGGTTCTTGTAGTTCGGGCGCTTGAAGTTTAAATGCTTGGATGAAGTTGAAGGTTTTCCAAAGGTCTTAATTTCCCTGCTGGTTTTTTCTATTTCCTTTGCTGACTTGCATCGTTCATTGAAGTCCGAACCAAATAAAAATTTGTCTGTCAAACATTCCTGTGCCACTTTCCTTGCCGAGGGAGAAATTTTCGACGACATGGCAAACTTCCTGTGTGAGGTAAGATAATGCATAGCATCGGCGACCAATTTTGCTGCGTCAGCTAGGACTTTTGCTTCCTCACTCCTCTCGGGTTTGTCCAGTGTGCCAGTAAGCACCTGACCAATGGCGGTTAGCCCTCGCCCTAAATCATTTTGGATTTTAATTAGGAAATTATCAGTGTTTCTTTGTTCGGTGGTCAACAAAACCTGAACTTCAGGGTTTATTTTTGGGGCCTGGAGCAGCTCCGCGTTGGATGGGGGAGGATACTTTTGGAACAATTCTTTAATTTGCTCCTTATCGACGCCTTTCGTGATATAGGAGGACCAACGCGTCCATACTTGTTCATTTAATGCCGGGCCTAATGATCCCTCTCCTTCTGGCTCCAATCCTAAGACGTCCGAAAAATTTTGATCCGGACTTTCTGGCGTTTCCGTTAATACATTGCCTTCTAAATCATTC